TGAAAATGGTTTGGACAATTTACTTTACAAACAATAAAGAAAAAAGTTTGAAACCATATGATTGTCACTTACACCTTATTAAATACACCTTGGTTTTACTCTTAGATATTTTCGTTGACGAAATTTTCACACAAGTGTCGCAGTATTCATGCAAGACAACTTGTCGTTGACGACTACTTCGGTGACTAGACTCTCTACTTTTCGTTAACAACAGATTCACTTCTTGTCGTATTTGTTTCTGTCAATATTTCATAGTACACTCGATTCAGACTATTTTTGTTTTGTTTTCATATTTCATATTTCGAGAAGAACGAAATTTTCAATGACATATCATGTGTTTAGTCACGTATGACAATTCAATAAATTTCGTCAACGTTTCGTCAACGAAATTGTCATGCAAGAGAATATTTTCTACTGGGTCGTGTCAAGTTCGATATGACATTTGTTATTTATGTTAAACGAAAATACAACACGAGTTTATGAAATGTTTAACATTTGTTTTTGCTATAGTCCCTAAATCTGCAGACGATGGAAAAATATAGTATCAGCGTTTAATTTTTTTTTTAACCGTGTTTTCAAATATGAATTGGCATGAGAATTCCAATTATATTATTTTAAAAGAGTATTAATCGCGCGTTATCAATTATATATTATCAAATAAAACAAGTGAATAAGCGTTAAGTTCGGCCGGGCCGAACTTTGGATACCCTCCACCATAGATATACTGACAGGTACTAGAAATGAAAATATGGGAACATACCAAAAAGTGGACCTATACCGACATTTCTATGTAAACTATAATACAAATTTCAGAAATTTTTAATGGATAATTATACCCCAGCCTTATGGCTAATGAGGGTGTATACACTTTACACCGTGAAAATGTGCCTCATCGAAATATTGGTTCTAGACCCCATGTTTCTTTGGACCAAATCCGTTTCAGAAAATTTACATTTCATTCAAACTTTGCCAATCTTATTATTTCTTCCAATCTTAGTTCAAATTCGAAGATGGGGAATATCGGTCCACTCCTTCTGGTACCTCCCACACAGGGGCTAGGTTTAAATACGGGTTATAGTTCATATATTATAGAACCTTACGTTCTAGTTTTTTATCTCGATATCCTACATAGGTGATATAGTTACAACATAGTCTTAGAACCAAACCCAAAACGCGGAACAAATTGCATAACTATTTTAATATAAAAAAGGGGTTATATGGGGACTACCCCAAAAAGGGGGTGCATATTAAAACATTTTTGTAGAGAAACTTGTTACCATATTCGACTACAAAATACCAAATTTCAGCGAATTCGGTTGAAAAACGTGCTCAAGAACCTCAAAATAGCGAAAGTTGGGGGTACCCTTATATGGGGGCTACCAGAAAAATTGGACCTATATTTATAATTTTTGGTGGAGATATTTGGCACCTAATAGGAACTAAATGTACCAAATTTCAGCGAAATCGGTTGAAAAACGCACTCAAGAACCCCAAAATACCGACATTTCGGGGGTACCCTTATATGGGGGCTACCAGAAAAAATGGACCTATATTTATAATTTTTAGTGGAGTGATTTAATACCCAATAAGAATTCAAAGTACTAAATTACAGCCAATTCGGTTGAAAACTACGATCAAAACCCCCAAAATACTGAAAATTAGAGGGTACCGTTATATGGGGGCTACCAGAAAAATTGGACCTATATATATAAATTTGGTGGAGATATTTGGCACCTAATAGGAACCAAATGTACCAAATTTCAGCGAAATCGGTTGAAAAACGCACTCAAGAACCCCAAAATACCGACATTTGGGGGTACCCTTATATGGGGGCTACCAGAAAAAATGGACCTATATTTATAATTTTTAGTGGAGTGATTTGGTACCCAATAAGAACTCAAAGTACTAAATTACAGCCAATTCGGTTGAAAACTACGATCAAAACCCCCAAAATACTGAAAATTAGAGGGTAGCGTTATATGGGGGCTACCAGAAAAAATGGATCTATATGTATAATTTTTTGTTGAGAAATTGGGTACCCAATAGCAACTCAATATACCAAATTTCAGCGAATTCGGTTGAAAGACGCGCTCAAGAACCCCAAAATACCGAAAATTGGGGGGTACCCTTATATGGGAGCTATGCCTAAACGTGGACCGATATATCCCATCTTCGAACTTGACCTGCCTGCAGACAAAAGACGACTCTGTGCAAAATTTTGGCGATCTATCTCAACTCGTTTAGACGCTAGAGTGATTACAACAGACGGACAGACGGACGGACAGACGGACATGTTTAGATCGTCTTAGAATTTTACGCTGATCAAGTATATATATACTTTATAGGGTCGGAAATGATTATTTCGATGCGTTACAAACGGAAAAACAAAACTAATATACCCTCCATACTATGGTGGAGGGTATAAAAATAATAATAATAATAAAAACGCAAAAGAAGTTCGTTGCGATATGGTTTACAATTTACTTCAATTTCCTAATGGGAACATGTGAAGCAGTAAACGCTTTGCAATGAAAAATTCCTATTTTGAACACTATTTTTAACGTTTTTGTATGAGTTACCTCTACATATGGCAATAACTCAATTGGAGAAAAGATCTGGAAGCTATTGAATTATAAATTTACGAATGAAAAGTTCGTGTTTTTCAATTTTATTCTGAAAATTGCTTAGCATAATTACAGAAAGTAGTCTCATTTGAGAAATTGATAATGGCAACCCTTTTTAATTTGGAATTCATATCGACGCCCCCGAACCATAGTGTGCTAAGTCGGCTTAGCATATTTTAAAGTTCTTTACGTTTTTAAATACTACGGTCCTTAATTTATATTCTCTGAAATTTTGGTAATCATCGGCCAATCCAAACCAAAGTTATAAGCAAAAATGTACTTAGCATAGCCCGTAAGATATATGAAACTTCCATACTTTGAGAGCTTCTACTGAAAAACTCACTTTTCAGACTTAGCATACTATGGTTCAATTTCAAATAAAATGAAAAATAAATAAATACATTTTTATGTGTGTCGATTGGCATATTTTCAATAAATAAAAAAAATATATATTTTCTAAAGCTGAACATTGTTCTAAAGATTTAACCATGGTTGTTATATCTTATATTCATAAGTTTTAATGGCAAGAAACTTCAAAATATTTATAAATATAAATTATTTAGCAATTTTTGCCACTGGACACATGATATGCGTACATTTCGAAGGAAGATAATTCCATTTAAATTTTGAAAACAGAATACTGTCAAAGTCCCAATTTAGATTAGGCGAGTTTACTTGCGGCAAGTCTTTGTTTGTAGGAGAGAGTGGCAACGGGAATAGAAATGGAAAAAAATGCTCGTACCGACAATTTTCTGGCAATTCGTTTTGTGTATTTCTTTTTTTACATTTTATATTTATTTAAATGTGAAATAAGGTATTGGAAGAAAATATATTTTTGAATAGACGCATGAAGCAAGTTCAAAAGAGAACGATAAAAATTGCCGCAAGTAAACTTGTCTAATCTAAATCAGGAGAAAGGCAAGTTTACATAACATATGACTGCATGAGACAACCTTAGTTCCGTTCCAGAACCTAAAAGAATCTACCAATTTTACAACTTTTGCAACTTTTTACTCAAAAACCATTCCTGAAAATGGTGAAAATTGAAAAAAAAAACTTTTTGAAAATAAATAGAATTTATTGATATTTCTTATTTTTGTTTACATTACAATATACAATAACAATGTTCTATGTGGTTTTTTCTTACCTTGTATAATTGTACCATGTGCAAGGCCTATATAAGGTCGGCTAATAAGCAAATTCATAGAGACAACAGCTGCTTCTATTAAGTTAACGTCAAGTTAAAATAATGTTTTGATACCAACATAGTTCCCACTACCAACATATTTTCCATGTAAATGTTCCGATAAAAGTCCTGACATTTTCTCCTCCGACTTTTTTCCTATTCCTGATGTTTTCCCATATTTAATTCACAGTTAGTAAATATGCATTTTTTTGGATTACATATTTCCTTATGATAAACGACATATGTACACTGCGTATCGTAATTATGGATGCACCTTTTATTCAATTGGTATGTTAGTTGACAAATAAAATGGATCCATTAAGTTATTGACCACAAACACGTATTATTCAACAAAAATAATTCATTTACTCGTTGGGTTTCGCTTAATTTTGCACTTTCATACTCGCTTTGACATTAAAAACATGTGAGCCAAATTATGGCAGCCTATGTCAAGTGGCTCGGCAGTTAATGAGTTTATACCCAATTTTCGGTTAATACTCGGGTATTTACCCAAGTATTTTTATTATTATTTACCTATTGTATTACCGTTTCAATATAGTACCCTCTTTTAGGGAAGCATAAATTTATACAATCTTTCCAGTACACAATTATATTTGTTTCTTTTATTGAAGTTTTCATTTAAAGTTTAGTAAAAAATATTCCAGTTTTGTTAATTATTATGAAGTTACTCTTAGAAATTACGTATAATTTTAATATACACGGGTACAGAATGTACCAACGGTACACTTTTTCAGGTCGAAGAACTTATGCCAAAGAGCCAAAGGAATAATAACATTACATCGTCATACTTAAGTCGATGGCAGGAAAAAGGAAATTTCAATTGTTTTTTTTTAATAATATATAATATTTCTATTACATTATATGTTAATTATATATGTATATACAATGTTGATTTTGAAAAATTTTCCATCTATTTGTACACATTCCCCGTTATGAAATCAAAAAAATAATTTTAAAATAATAAATTGTTTTTTAAATAATAAATTGTGCAACACGCACCCACAACTTATATGATCAACTTAATTCTATTTTACATATACCAAAAAAAAAAGAAATATTTTCACATAAATTTATAAAAAAACGTAATCAACAGCAACATACGTTATGGACAAATTGGGAGGCAGTACATACAAATATATACATTCTAAAACTTGGATAGTATGCAAATATTATTTTAAGGAATTTATTTTACTTCTTAGTATTACATACGCAGCTATCCTATATACCATAATGATTAAAATCAAAGCAATGACATCATTCCAAAACTGACCATCCTCCATGGTTATGTCGGATAAGAACTTCTTGGGATATCTACATTAAGAATGATATTATAGTATACACATAAAATGCGAGGAGTCATAGCTTACTTATAGTGACAATATCGGGCTTCGTTGCAATTCAAACATTCTCGATTGTTACCATATATAGCACCTACATAACCTTCCAGCCCGTAACGCAGCTGTGATACGTAGGTACCCCATTTTAAATAGAATGGAAGATCTTGTAAGGGTATACCGAAACCAGAAAACATCATCATCGGAACAGTAACGACTGGAGCTACAAATGTCCCATTGACTACATTAAACCAGGCACCAATCATAAGACCCAGACTTTGGCCAGCTAATACGACCAATACACTAATGGCAAGGAACATCATGTAGCGATTCCATTCCATGGGCTGTCCACTTGAAAAATATATTATATTCGTAAAGAGAAGAGTGCCAAAAATCTTGAAATGTAAATGTAGGAATATTAAGAAACGAAATTTACAAGTGTCTATAAAACATACCGAAATGGGAAGATCTAAAAGTGTTATCGACATATAATAGGCTTTCAAAGAATACCATTGATTAAAATGCTCCTTTATAACTGTTGGCATTTCCATTGGAACTAAAATTGTAAAATCAATGTTCAAAATAAGAAACAATTAATTAGTGTACGATTCATTATCCCGTACTGCAAGAATCTACAAAATTTAACTCCCGTAAAGTACGGTTATATGTATATTTGTAAAATGTTCGTTATAATCTAATAAAAAACCAGTAAGGAAAGTAGTAAAGCCGGACTGGGCCGACTATATGATACCCTTCACCACTATGTATATATTGAAAAGATGCATCCTAACAGAAGGGCCATTAAGATGAAATTGGGTGAACTAAAATATGTGACTTAGATCAATCCATAAACAAACAGTTCATTGTTACAATGTGACAAAATTATGTAAATCGATTTAAAGCAAATATTAATCGTACACCCGTTGAATGGTTGGAACACGAAGTCGGTTCGAAATATATATGGGCTACATCTGTACTTCCACACGCAACTACGTCATTCTATTCTAAAAAAAGCATGAAGAGTATGGTGCAACATTTAGATAAAATCAGATGAAAATAGATATGAAAGCTATATCCAAATATGAACGGATTTCAACGATACTTGTCACAGTTTAGTACATTATGCCAAATTTCGTGCAAATCGAATGCTTTTCAGGGACTTTGGTGCACCATTTACCTAAAATCGGGCGAAACTATATATGGGATCTATATCTAAATCTGAACCAATTTTCACGAAACTTAGCACACGTCATTCTAGACTTAATTTAGTACACTATACCAAATTTCGTGTAAATCGAAAGACATATAGGGAATTTGGTGCACCATTTACATTAAATCGGACGAAAATATATATGGGAGCTATATCTAAATCTGGACCGATTTTCACGAAATTTGGCACACATCATTATAGACTTAATTTATCGAAAAATATAAAGGGACTTTGGTGTACCATTTACATTAAATCGGACGAAAATATATAAGGGAGCAATATCTAAATCTGAACCGATTTTTCCCAATTTCAATAGGGTTCGTCCATGGGCCGAATAACGGCCTATGCCAAATTTCAACCAATTCGGACCATAAATGCGACCTGTACTTTGTTTGCAATTTAACATGGACAGACAGACGGACGGACATGCATAAATCGACTCAGAAAGTGATTCTGTGCATATTCTCAAAAGGAACCATGGGTCTATCTCGATTCCTTTTGCCTGTTACAAACATATGCACAAAGACATAATACCCTGTACCACAGTGTGGTGAAGGGTATAAAAATTAACACTGAAAGTTGGGACCAACAGATTTGTAAAGACAGAGAAGTTTATCGTTAGTTTTATACTAAGCAAAATTGACATTTGATAGGAAAAAAATGTATCGTTATAGATTTAATTGGTAAATCGAGTTGAATTTTCTTCGATTTACATTTCAAAATAAAAACCACTCAAACCATCGATTTGTTCGAAATCATATGCTAAATCGAGATAATTTGTGTTTGTATAATAATTGTTTGTTTTTTACCAAAAAATTCATCAGGGTTTAGGAAAAATGCGTTAAAATTCAAAATACAGTGAAGTACGGTTATACCGAACTAGTAGGGGTCAAGTAAATTAGTTCGATATAGACGAAGTTCGTTATATCCAGGTTGTCTTACTAATGTTTAGCAGAAAAAAATATATTAAGTTCAAAAATATGTAATTTTTGTGTTCTTTTTGTCAATACTCCACTTTTCCTTTGACGAGCTATAAATTAATTTTTGAGCAGGTTCGTCACCGTGAAGTATAGTATGACAAATGTGGAATCAGATTTTGAAAATCAATTAAAATGGATCCAAAATAGAGCATTAAATGTAAGGAAACCCTAAATATTTCATATCTTTGCAGTATTTGAAATCAAAATAGCATAACATCGTATTTTTTATGTGTTGTAATTATTGAATGTCCACGTTACGCACTTCCAACACACAACATACATGCGTAGAGTAATTGCGATGTGTTCGCCTACAGTAACCTACACACAAGAGATGTAAATAGTCGTAGTATTAAGTTTTCGTGTTTAGTGTGTAAGTTTGTAAATAGTCACTCTCAATAAAGCCGCCAGCCAGAGCACAACGCGTCTTTCCTTTCATCCACTAGTAGCAGATCAAGAATAATATTTTCAACAGGTTATGGGCCCAGGCATAGCCAACATACAGACATAGCTGAGACCCAGAGTCGCTTAGAGGAAATAGTAAATCGTGTGTATCCAGGATGACTCTGAAGAAGGATCACTGATGTAAATAGAAATGCTGAGTGAATAAGCTACCGGGAGGCCGCTGGTGAAGAAATCGTGTTTTCGTGTGTCGAAAACCAACGAGATTTTGTTACAAGTGTGTCAGTAACAACCGGCCCCGAAAAAGTGAATCCTTGGAAACCTAGTGGATTGCGTGAGTCCAATGGTTAGCTGTGTGTCGGAAACCAAGCAGCTCGTTACAGTGTGTTAGTAACGATGGAGCTTGGACTACACAATACAATATAGAAAGGAAGACAGTGGAAAGTGTCCGATCTGTGTGATCGAAGAGTGCTCAAAAGAAAAAGAGAATTGAGAGTCATTCCAGTTTGTATAACCGAGTGTCGGGTATGTTATGTCGTGTGTCGACAACATACGCATCTGGAATCATGCATGTGTTGCATTTGAATTGTCAGAGGACCATTTTGGCTGGTTAAGAATCTGCGAAAGAAATCAATGCTGGTCCACCAATGTGTTTGGGAGGAGATTTCTGTGGATGATGTAGCAGATTGGAAGAACTCGAGCAAAGAGTGAATGGCAACAACAACAAAAGGGTGCGATTGCCGAGGCGCACAATAAAATTCAGCAACAACAACAACGCAGGTAGTGACAAAAACAGTTCGCGCACAAGAAGTGGCAGCAGAGACTACAGGCAGCGAAAAAGGTTGAGCAGAGAAATCCCCACGAGCATGCGTACACCGTTATAGTGCGAATGACAACAACAACGCAAGCAAGAGCGTTCTGTGTTTGGATAGCGGTGCGTATTTTATGATGCGTAAATTGTTTACGAGAAGTCTCTGGCGGAATGGAAGGGGTAGGCTCAAATAGCGTGTTGATTGTGTACCTGCAAGTCAATGTAATGACGGTTGACAATGAAGCGGTAAAGAGGTCGTAAAGAAAAATGTGCGCAGATTGACGACGAGCAATTGGAGTTTGCAGACCGCAAGAGGGGAGTTGTATTTGTAATCAGAATGTGTTTCTGCAGAGAACAAAACAACCCGAAGTGCCAACACCGTTACGGTCGATATGATGGGGAGAGCCCACAACGGACGGTTTCGAATGTGTTTCGATGAGATGAAGGCACAGTTAGGTCAACCATTGTCCAGCCTATGGAAGGGGGACAATATGCAGGAGGAGTTGTATAGCTGATTATACTTATGAATAATACTGTGTGTATTTTTTGTAATATGTTTACAAATGTTTAATTTGAATAAATAAAGATTTTTGAGGGTTTGATATTAGGGCATGTATGTATGTGTGTTGAGGAGGAGTGTTGTAATTATTGAATGTCCACGTTACGCACTTCCAACACACAACATACATGCGTAGAGAAATTGCGATGTGTTCGCCTACAGTAACCTACACACAAGAGATGTAAATAGTCGTAGTATTAAGTTTTCGTGTTTAGTGTGTAAGTTTGTAAATAGTCACTCTCAATAAAGCCGCCAGCCAGAGCACAACACGTCTTTCCTTTCATCCACTAGTAGCAGATCAAGAATAATCACCCCTATTCCGTATGTCGTCGTCGACACGAAACGACGTCGAAGAGAGTCGTCTTTTGCAAATTGGTATTCCCTATGTCGTTGTCGACATTTATCGATAACTATTGAAACATTTTTGGTATTCCGTAACAATGTGTGACGACGACGATGTCGAAATTTCTTCGTCATAGCTTTTGTTGACGACTGAAGCGTTTGAACATTTTTTTTTAGAAATTAAAAAAAAAACATGACCGGACAAGAACAGGATACATCATTCTAGAATCTATTCAATACTTAATGCAAAATAAAGTGTAAATAAAGAAAAATATATGGGATCTATATATAAATCTGAACCGATTTTGACCAATATCAACAGGAATCGTCTATTCGCCAAATAAAATTTCATCCCAATTGGATGCACTTTTCCAAATTTCATCCCATTCGGATCATAATGGTGGCATGTAACTTGTTTAAAATAATACATGGATGGAGGGACATGCATAAATCGACTGAAAAATAATTCTATGTACATATATAATAAAAAGAAACTATGGGTTTATCTCGTTTCTGTTTGGTCGTTGCAAACACATTTACCCTGTGCCACAGTGCGGTGAAGGATACAAACACATTTTTGCCCAAAAATATGCAACATTTTTTGTTTTTATTGATATTATCGATAAATAGTCGACATCGTCGCATGAGTGTTACGGAATACCAAATCAGTGTCGAAGTGATGTCGATGTCGATGCGAAGTGATGTCGAAAGAGAAACGTCGTCGACAACGACGACGACATACGGAATAGGGGTGAATATTTTCAACATTATGTATTATGGATTTTAAAATATGGCATACCTCAAAAAATTGTAATTATAGCATATTTAATTGAAAATGGTATTCAAAATCCCCGTTTATATGGGGCCTACCCCGAAACCTAAGACAATATTCATAGTTTTTGGTATGAAGATTGCAAACCCAATTTAAATTCAAAATACTAAATTACAGTCAATTTGGTTGAAAACCGCGAACAATATAAAAAAACAGCATTAAGGGGATACCGTTTTATTAGGGCTACCCCAAATAGTGGACCAAAATTATTCATTTTTGGTACGATATGCTCTACGCAATGCGAACTTATAATACCAAATTACAGCCAATTTGGTTGAAGGACTCAAATAGAGATAGTCAATAGAGACAAACAGTCCTGATTATAGAATCCACAATGAGTTGTATAATATATTCCTGATTGCCGAATAATCCGGATTAGATTATCCACATTTTTCTGCAATGCTATCACCAGAATGTTGGATAATAATACCAACTGAAAGCAACATATCAACTATACCCAAGACAGAAAATTTAAAATTCTTGCAAAGCTTTTACCGTACAAAGTGTAAGAGGTCTGGAATTGTCAAGTGGCCCATGAATTGTTACATTTGTATAAAAAAAATTCAAAAATACAATCGAATATTGTAAAATTAATTCAACATTCATGTGAAAACATCTTGTCTAGTACTAAAATCGTTACTAGGACGATTCTCCTATTTTCTGAACTTTTGAGACATTTAAAGGTTTACCTACACGTGAGCACTGTTAACATCATCGTTACCATGGAATTATGAATAAGCATGCTAAATAACAGCTTATAGTTGTCCATCACTCGCGAACCTTCTTTTCCAGAATTAGCGTACAGTGCACCCAACATTATGGCAACAATCACATTCACAAAAATTCGAAGATGCGTTAGAGTAGTATTGCGCTTTGAGCTAATGTAACCTCGTCGCAGTAGTGCCGCCAATTGGTTTAGAAAGCCGGTGTACTCCATGCCACTTTTCTGCATTTTCGATGGTAATAATCTATTGTTGTGCACAATGTCACTGCAACTAATAGTATTTGTAGACTGATTGAACCAATCTATGCTGCTGCCATTTTCTGCAGCTGACTTTAATACATCCAATTTATCCAGACCGTATTCTCCACATGCCAATTCTATAACTATATACAACATATGTTTGATTTTATTTCATGGTTCAAGTCCACAAATCGTACTCACTAAAATCAGCAGGGTTATGATACCTTGGACAGGTTAGATAATTAGCATGAAGAAAGTGAACCATCATCTCCGTACCACCTTGGTAAATACAGTTGCCGCCAGCTAATACATAGACGTGATCAAATATCTGGAAGAGTTTAGCAGATGGTTGATGAATAGTACATACTATGGTACGGCCATGCCTTGTAAGGTTTTTGCATAATTCTAAAACTTTGGTACACACACTGCTGTCTAGACCCCTAGAAATATATGAAAATGTTAAAGAAGCTAATTTTGTAAATAACAATACAAATTAATTAATAAGTTGTATATTTGATAATTGTATCACATAGAGTTTTTAGAGATGGTGAAAGGGAAAAGAAAGTGTCAAAAAACTGGACAATTATGTTTATTCGTCTGTTCAATACAAAAACATAATTATCGGGAAGTTAAAAAAAATCGATTTCGTTCTGTTTATAATCATGAAGGCAAACAGCATGATATACAAAACGAATGATTTGTAGGTGTGGTTTTCTTTTGTTTCGTTTGAAAAATACGATACGAAACGATTGCAAACGTTTCATATCATTTCTTTTCATACTGTGCTAAAAATATAAGACACATTCAGCATTTTGAAAGTCGGGAGGTAACCTAAATAAGGATGAACATATTAGAATTACTGCTATAAATGTGACGAATATTTTTAATAACCTTCAGTCGATTTCATAGGATGTAGCAAGTCAGAATATTTTACATATTCTTATTCCAAGTTTGTATCAAATCTTGCATAGTGTCAAAGAATGAAATATTTTACGTCAAATTTCACTAGGAGTCTCAAACCAAACTATATATTTAGCAAGAAATTATTTGTTGACTTCAGTAAGTATTTTGTCAAACACAATTCTAAGTCGAATTTCACTATTAGTCCTGATTTATATTAGGCGAGTTTACTTGCGGCAATTTTTATCGTTCTCTTTTGAACTTGCTTCATGCGTCTATACAAGCCAATTCGGTTGCAAACATATATTTTCTGAATTGAATTATTTTTTCTGAAATGACACTACAAACAAAATACATAAAACGAATTGCCAGAAAATTGTCGGTACGAGCAATTTTTTCCATTTCTATTCCCTCGTTCGACGTTTTTCACCACAAAAGTAGAAGACATGTATATATGAAAATAAAAACAAAACATTCAGAAAATATGAAATTTCGAATGTGAACATAAAATATTTGGATTAATTTAATACATTTTCAACTTTGTTTTGCGGATTGTATTATTTGCCTGATTATATGGATTCGACGTATTTGGATAATACGGCCGCACACAACATTTTACAAAAGTGGGGAAGTTGAATTTTTCTGTACGCCCCGTCGAATTATAGGTAACGTTCTTAGTTGCAAAAGAAAAAAAATTAAATACAATATGTATTTGTAACCCAGTGAGGGGAGCAGTATAGTCGGACGTGGCCGACCATATGAGACCCTACACAACTACCACTGAGCTCTAAGTTTCTGCCAGGGCAATATTTCGCGATAATTGTACTGTCTTGAGCGATTAGATTTCAATAGCTCCTCTGCGTTATCTTTTCTGAATCATGTTTTCCTGGGCTGAAAATGCACTCCAAAAGGTTCAAATTTTGTTATTTTACCCAAAAATGTTTTGATTTATTTGTTTCGATTGGCTGCCTTGAAAATTAACTGTCAATATGCTAATTTTTAAGGCAATGCTGTAGAAAAAAAAATTTATTGTTGTCAAATTTCTTTACGTTTAGAAATAAAGGCAAAATTCAACATTTCTTCAAATTTGGAATCATTTGTAATGTTAATCCTAAAAAATATTGTAAACAAATGTCAATATTTTCTTCCTACACACAGACAAACAATAATTGTGCCATCTAAATTAAGTTTTTAATGCAAATTAAGCAGAAAAAATAAGGTTTTCAAATGGAACATTTGTAATGTTCGACTCATAATTGTGCCATCTAAAGTCAGCAGAAAAAATAAGGTTTTCGGTAAAATTCATCCCCGAAATCTTATTTGACCATCATAGTAAAATATAAATGTCGTATGCAACAAAATTTCTATTTTGTTCAAATTTCGCACTTCTTCATACTTTCAACGCCGATACACGTGTCTTCTATTTTTAGCCCACCTATATATATATTTTTTTGGAATTTCCCGATAATTACACTGTGCTACAAAACAGCAAAAAAGGGGTTCTAATCTGTTTAGTTGGAGTCCCTGGAACACGAAAATACCTTTGGTTTTTCTGGGTCACTTCGAAAATTAGTTTTATAATGGTAAATGTAGAGAAAAACGTGGTCTCATAGATTTTCAATTTGAAATGCGAATAATATATTTACTTTATAACGGATTTATGTTGAGGATTGGCTGAGTTACAGTGGTTGAAACGAGAAAAATACGCATAAAAAATTGTGATATAAAGCAGTAATTAAATTAAATAAGCTTTCGAAAATGAGAAAAATCAATCAAATCAAAATAAATCCGTTAGAAATGAAAGGAGTTATTCGAGTTTCAAATTGAAAATCTATGAAACCATGTTTTTCTCTACATTTAACGTTATAAAATTAATTGTCTAAGTGACCCAGAAAAACCAAAGTTATTTTCGTGGTCCAGGGACTACCACAGAATTGGTACATTAGAACCCCTGAATAATTTTCGTGACGCACAGTGATATCAAAAAAAATGTAATTTGTTGCACAATGTTCTGAGAATAGAAATTTCATTTTATTATCATTCTATCCATCACCACTCATTTTGTATATTGTATATATTGTTTTGTAAATGTGAAAACGGGTTTTCTTATTTTTTCAACAATAATAGAAAAAAAATCCACAATACTTTTTTATATTGTTATGGCTAGCTCAGTAGATGGAACCTCTAAGTTCTTATTTAAATCAAGGGCGGTGTGAAAAGTATAACAAAAAGTATAAAAATGAGAAATGCGATGATGAATTCCAATTCGAATTTATAATGCAAAATTTTTATTATTCAGAAAGATTTTACAAATTATGGCTATACCATGGTACAATTTTACAAGGTAACTGCAATATTCAGATGATTTGATTCAAACGTAATACTCGTGTCAATTTGAATATAATAAATTATGTTTTATAAAGTGGCCCGGCTACACATTGATATCGAAATTATTTATTATCAATTTCGCATTTAATTTTAATCGAGGCAGCTGATTGTAAGTTTATATGTAAAATATAATAGAAGATAGAAATAAATACAAATTTCAAATGAAAAAACAATACAAAATTTTGTTGAAAAAATGTTATAAAATAGTTAAAGAAGCAATACAGTCGAACGGGCAGACTGTGTTGCTTCTTTATTGTATATATTGTTTGATTTTGATTGATCAAAGCGGAAGGTGTTCGATTTATTATAAAAATACCAATTACAGTGACTTCCGTTGACATTTTTCCAAACTGTAGACAAATATGTACCATTTTAGTAGAAGTTATATCTGTGAAAGCGTTTAGGCTCTGTAATGTTTTCAACTGGTTTTAGAAAACGATTTCGAGGTTTTGCATACGTTAAGTCTTCTATTTTATAGCGAAACAAAAGTTAATTCTGAGAGGCAATAAAATCCACCGAAAAATATGTTCAGCATTGGTCCATCTCTTGGTATCTGCAATTATATATATAGATATCTAAAATTTTATTTTAGTAGTTTTTTGCATTCTAAAATATATTTTTAATTTATAACTTTAGGTCTTAAACAAAATTATACTATTTAAAAAAACTTGAACAATTTTGAAATACTTCAAAAATGAATTGTTCTGATTGGTGGAATGAAATTCGCTTCATATTTGAAATGTTACGGCGAATAAATTATAATTCGCCCTGTTAACTATTTTCGCATATCATGTTCCCAATTAGCCGATGCGGCTACCTTATATATCTTGTTTATTTATATTTTCGTCATATAAAAGTGACACTAATGTTACAAACTATAACAATTTTCTATGTGGTTGTTGCTGAATTGCATTTCTTGAAGTTTTGCAGTAACCTTGTGTACATGGACTATACCAAGGTTTTTGACACATAAATTTAAGACTTTTCAAAAGTTGTATGAACTGGCTGACTTAACCGCAAGTTTGAGTAAGAGATCTGTTAACATGATGAAATAGTGAATGTATTACTAAATTGTATTTATTTTGGACTGTTATTCCTTAATAATGTAAATAAATGCAACAACTTACGTAGTCGGTTCGTCTAAAAACATAACTGTTGGGTTGTTGACAAGTTCCATAGCAATTGAAAGCCTCTTTTTTTGGCCACCCGATAAAGATTTGGTTCGCGTTTGGCCATGTTCATATAATCCCAACAACATTAGTATATCCTTGATCTGGAAGAATATAATTATTAAAAAAAAAAACAGTAAGAAAAGTAGTAAAATCGGACTGGGCCGACTATATGGTACCCTTCACCACTTTGGGTATATTATACAAATGTATCCTAAAATACGTCTCCTTTTCGAAGGAACCTTGACATAAAATAAAATGAAAAAAAATAAAATAAAGTTGATCTTAAATACTTAAATATGTATTCGTTATCTATATCTAAAACGACTAACATCAATCCCTACACTTGTCAGTCTGCAACCTATGCACATTGTATCAATCGGCCTAGCTATGGACTTTACTGAAAATCGGACGAATATATATATATATATATAGGAGGTGTATGTAAATCTGAACCGATTTTTACGAAATTTGCGCACATCATACGGGACTTTGGTACACCATTAACCTAAAATCAGGCGAAACTATATATGGGAGTTATATCTAAATCAGAACCGAATTTAACGAAACTTAGCACACATCATTCTAGAGTTAGTTCAGTACGCTTTGCCAAAATTCGTGCAAATTGAACGGTTTTCAGGGACTTACCTAAAATGGAGGTAAAAGGTACCTAAAAAGCTATATCTAAATCGGAACCAATTTCACGAAACTAAGGACACGTCTTTCTACACTTAATTCAGTATGCTATGCCAAAATTCGGCAAATTGAATGATTTTGGGGGAATTTGCTGCACCATTTACCTAAAATCGAGCTAAACTATATATGGGAGCTATATCTAAATCGGAACCGATTTTCACGAAACTTAGCACACATCGGAACCAATTTCACGAAACTAAGGACACGTCATTCTACACTTAATTCAGTACGCTTTGCCAAAATTCGTGCAAATTGAATGAATTTCAGGGAATTTGCTGCACCATTTACTTAAAATCGGGCAAAACTATATATGGGAGCTATATCTAAATCGGAACCGATTTTCTCCAAATAAGTGAACTGTGCCAAATTTCATCCAAATCGGATTATAAATGCGACCTGTACTTTGTTTACAATTTAACATCAACAGACGGATGGACGGACATGCATAAATCGACTCAGAAAATGATTCTATGCAAATTCTCAAAAGGAACCATGGGTCTATCTCGATTCCTTTTGCCTATTACAAACATATGCACAAAGACATCATTATATCATCAGCATTATCTTTTATATCAGGCATATATAAAAATCTATATCGATCAATTTGCCCGAACATTATTATTCGATGGAATTGAGTCCAGAATGACGCTTGCCAACCATAGAACAATTAATATAGTCACCATATGTACTTTCTTTCGATTTCATGTAAAACGTGTAATCAAAATGACATTTTGCACACAATGTGATGGAGTTTACCATCCTTTATAACTACTCGAAGCTTTTTATTTATAAACTTTTTACTAGATAACATTGGACGAGTAATATTGATTTCCCAGAATTCTAACTGCTATTGAGTTGGTTTTGAATTTTCATCAATTGTAATGAGTTCAGTTCTAATGATCAAATCGCAAATAACCAAAAGGTCATAAAATATTTAATACTTACTCTGGTTTTCTTCATATCCGTGGACACATTTGAACCCAGTTTAAGATCTGCAGCTATTCGCATATTTTCATTAACCGTTAATAGTGCTTGCAGGCAATTGTCCTGTGTTATGTAACACGACATTCGTCGAAATTCAGCTAAGAATATGCATTTTTTATTTATAAATTACAATCTATTCAATATTTTCGACAACTTACACAAATCGAGAGGCCTTTTATTGAGCGAAATAGAACCTTCTACTCCTGTTGTTTTATAGCCAGATAAGACATCCAATAAGGTAGATTTTCCAGCTCCAGAAGGTCCCATAATTGCAATCAATTGACCTCCCGAGAATTGTCCACTTATATTATGTAGAATCTCTTTACATTCTTTGAATTACAAATAAATTATAAATTGTATTTGTTATAATTTATCAAAGAGAATTCCGTTAGCGAACCTCTTCGTAGCCCTGATTTCACTGCCAGTGAAATATTTCTAAATTCTATATCTACTGGCTCCCTTGTGGGTAAGTTTGAAAAATGTGATGAATCCGTATCAGTTTCGGTGTCCATAATAATTGATGATGAATTGGCAATCGGATGTTCCATTATTATTGCGGCGTCCGGGTTATTTGATTGTCCTTTAATAACCAGTTCTGCATCTGGTGAAGGTTATAATTTCGTACAAAGTCTTGTCTAAAAAATACAAATATCATCTTTCAAGAAATATGACTCTGAAAACCTAGTAAATTCTTAATAAATATGTAGAGGTCCCAAACATATTCTATATGGATTTGACGCAAAAGCATTATTCTGAAACAACCATAACCTGGTACTCATGAATGAATGCATAGGCAATAAAAAGTTCTGGCCAATTATGTCAAATTGAGTTTTTTAATTGAATTCTTCAATATTTGTTTTCGAATAATTTGAGTTTTCCATTCGGAATATTTGTATATAAAGGAAACAGTGGTGTTAAACGATTTTGATTGGATAAAGTATTGTAAAATGCTTAGCTCAAATTGTTGTCCCCTAGGAAAGTCTGTTTATGTCATCCAAACAAATATTTGTAATAAAATATGAAATAATTTACAGTCAATTAGTAAAACGTGGAATAATTTACAGTCAATTAGTAAAACGTGGTTTACATTTATTAAAATAATAACAAAAGGTAATTTTATAATGAATCTAGAAATCGGAATAAGTTATTATAATTGAACTTAATTTACCTGTGTGTCGACGATTTTTCTGAACCTAAACATTATTTGTTTACTGTCATCATAAATTTCCCTTTGACACTTTCATGATAATCATCTTTTGAAACGGGTTCACTCTTTTGTACATTGTGCAAAGTTTACATGTATTTATAAAGATTAGGTCAACAAAAAGTCTTTCAACGGCTGCATAAAACCAAAAAGGTTTAGGTGTATGTGAGAAAAAATCATCGCTTCAACAAAAATCAGCCCTGACTACCTTGGGTGTGATCAGTAATTATTAGTTGGAAAAGTACACAGACAAATTTTTATTTTTGTTCTTGCATTTGAAAACTATTGAATATAAAAACAAACAACATATGAAAACAGTTGCAAGTTTTCTTTGAATGTGAGAGAGTGCTGCCGCAAGATAATTGACTGATAATTGATCATTTGTATGATACATCATGGTAAATTCAGCAAGATTAAGAAAATAAACCCTGATTGGTCCTTTAATCATGATCAAATGTTATAAGTAAATCCGCTTTTACGTCGGGTGATAACTTAAAAAAGGGGGTTGAAAATTTCTCCTTATCAAGACTTTTGTAAATATTCAGATTAGGATTTCTCGGTCAGAAAATCCTACAAAATGTATGTCATAAAGTTTCAATATACTACTAAATGTTAAACTAAAAAAAATTTAAAAATCTTATAAAAATCCTATTTTAGGGTTATAATCATACTTATTTTTAGAAGAATTTTATCAATAACAAAAATATTCTCCAACAAATATTAGTATACGTCATTTTTTTTTTCAAAAACAAAAAAATGATTTAAAACCCTCCATCGCACTATAGGCAATTTGCCCTATTTTTGAGGCAAAAATTAATAACAGCGGTATTTTAAATGATTTATATGTGAAAGAAAGAGAAAATTCAGTTTTTAACGATTAGATTTTTAAAGGAATAATTATTACAATGTCGTATGTTTTTTCAGAATTCATTACTAACGATTAATTCAGTACCCTTAAAAATTAGTGAGAAAACGAGGCTTTCTACATAGTAAACACAGGATATACTGAACAAAATTTGTTTCATATGTGACTTTTTTATTTATAATCAATGCTGAAAAAAGTAAATTATTGATGGTTTATATTCTAAGGGGAACTCAAGTCCGCCATTTCCTCTTCTCCACTTTCTAGATTTTTTTCTCATAATCTTTCCTTTGACAACCTATTTGCGGTTTACTAGCCACGCTATTTATTTTGTAATTAAAATTCGAATGTATTCGTTTTTTTCGCGGAAGAGTTCTATCTTCCTATGACATTTGGTCCATACAAAGGTATAAACTCTTTAACTGCCGAACCACTTGACATAGGCGGCCAATATCAAATGTATGTTTAATATATAGTGTGTTTTCAAAACAATATAATTACACTGTGCGACACGAAAATTTTTCAGGGGTTCTAATGTACCAATTCTGTTTAGTTGGAGTCCCTGGACCACGAATATACCTTTGGTTTTTTTTGGGTCACTTCGAAAATTAGTTTTATAACAGTAAATGTAGGAAAAAACGTGGTTCCATAGATTTTCTCTTTGAAACGCGTATAACTTCTTTTCTTTCTAACGGATTTATATTATTCTTTTTTTCAATCGAAGAGTAGAATTTTTTCTTTCAAACAAGATATATATTTGGTAAATCGTTTGAGGATTGGCTGAGTTACTGTGGTTGAAATGTGAAAAAATACGTATAAAATGACAAAATTTATTTTTCTTCGGACTGTACGAAGAAATTATGATATCAAGCCGTATAAGTTTTATTATATTATAGGGAAGACAATTAAAGAAGCTTTCGAAAATGAGAAAAATCAAAAAAATCGGTTAAAAAATAGACGACTTATACACATTTTTGTATTAATTTTATGCATATTCTCTAAAGGAACTATGGGTACCCTATGTCCAAGTATTTACTCACGTCTTTAAAGTATCGTAAAACTATCCATTCTAAATCGATTTGATAACAGAAACAGGGTGTAAGATGTTGTATTACCGATTCAATATAATAAATACCCAAATAAATACCCGCAAATGGGTAATTACCCGGTATTTACCCACCCCTTGGGTATTTACCCGGTAAATGCCATCTCTATGTATGGTGTCAAAAAAATAAAAAAATATATATATATAAAAATCTTAGTTTGGTATTTAACCAACGTCAAATATTTTATTAAAAGTATTATTTTGATTTGTACTAAAAATGAGTATATTAACCTAGCAAAATAGGATAAAATACATTAAAAGTGGTGCAAATCTTAGCCAAAATCTACACTTTGAAAAAAAATAAAAAATTAAGGCGTGGTTTAAAACGTTTAAAACCGCTAAATACAAAGCATAAACATAAAAATTAAACATGGAGAGTATTGGCGGTGGTGTGTGCTGTTTATTTAATATATAATATTTGATAATACATTTCTGTAGCGATTCAAAATTTACATAGTTGACTAATAAAAATAATAAAATAAATCTGTTTGTTTTTTACACATAAATCTTTTTAGATAGACTTTTACTAAAATATTTAAATTTGTCTGATCTTTTGTCAACTGAAATATATTAATGAAAGCCTTCTAAATTGATTCCAATCGGTCTTAAATTGGGATTTTTAGCGTTTTTCAAGATATATCAGTTTTTTGTAGGGAACTTCAGAATAAAAAACAACAATTTTTCCATATTTGGTTTGATGAAAGAAATAAAACCAAAGAAACATATCGTTAGCTAAAATGCAAAAAAGGCGTAACTAACAAAAGCATCATTGTGTAGGAGAAGTAAAAAACTGTTTTGAATGAAAACTATAAACATGTCATGTGAAATGAAAAAGTATGCCCGGCAGGGTGATATTGCATATGACGAATAATAGACTATAATTTTTTAACAAATTTAGTTATTTAGTTATTAGCAGTCATAACAATTAAGTAAAAACGTGAATTAAAAGTGGAAATTAGGTTATTTTGCATGCATTTGTCATGATGGACCAAATGTCATAGGAAGATAGAACTCTTCCGCGAAAAAAACGAATACATTCGAATTTTAATTACAAAATAAATAGCGTGGCTAGTAAACCGCAAATAGGTTGTCAAAGGAAAGATTATGAGAAAAAAATCTAGAAAGTGGAGAAGAGGAAATGGCGGACTTGAGTTCCCCTTAGAATATAAACCATCAATAATTTACTTTTTTCAGCATTGATTATAAATAAAAAAGTCACATATGAAACAAATTTTGTTCAGTATATCCTGTGTTTACTATGTAGAAAGCCTCGTTTTCTCACTAATTTTTAAGGGTACTGAATTAATCGTTGGTAATGAATTCTGAAAAAACATACGACATTGTAATAATTATTCCTTTAAAAATCTAATCGTTAAAAACTGAATTTTCTCTTTCTTTTACATATAAATCATTTAAAATACCGCTGTTATTAATTTTTGCCTCAAAAATAGGGCAAATTGCCTATAGTGCGATGGAGGGTTTTAAATCATTTTTTTTTTTCAAAAACAAAAAAATGATTTAAAACCCTCCATCGCACTATAGGCAATTTGCCCTATTTTTGAGGCAAAAATTAATAACAGCGGTATTTTAAATGATTTATATGTAAAAGAAAGAGAAAATTCAGTTTTTAACGATTAGATTTTTAAAGGAATAATTATTACAATGTCGTATGTTTTTTCAGAATTCATTACTAACGATTAATTCAGTACCCTTAAAAATTAGTGAGAAAACGAGGCTTTCTACATAGTAAACACAGGATATACTGAACAAAATTTGTTTCATATGTGACTTTTTTATTTATAATCAATGCTGAAAAAAGTAAATTATTGATGGTTTATATTCTAAGGGGAACTCAAGTCCGCCATTTCCTCTTCTCCACTTTCTAGATTTTTTTCTCATAATCTTTCCTTTGACAACCTATTTGCGGTTTACTAGCCACGCTATTTATTTTGTAATTAAAATTCGAATGTATTCGTTTTTTTCGCGGAAGAGTTCTATCTTCCTATGACATTTGGTCCATCATGACAAATGCATGCAAAATAACCTAATTTCCACTTTTAATTCACGTTTTTACTTAATTGTTATGACTGCTAATAACTAAATAACTAAATTTGTTAAAAAATTATAGTCTATTATTCGTCATATGCAATATCACCCTGCCGGGCATACTTTTTCATTTCACATGACATGTTTATAGTTTTCATTCAAAACAGTTTTTTACTTCTCCTACACAATGATGCTTTTGTTAGTTACGCCTTTTTTGCATTTTAGCTAACGATATGTTTCTTTGGTTTTATTTCTTTCATCAAACCAAATATGGAAAAATTGTTGTTTTTTATTCTGAAGTTCCCTACAAAAAACTGATATATCTTGAAAA